ATCATTCCTGAATTGGGTGTTATGTTCATAATGGAAGATCTCGGGGTTGATGATTACGACACTGCTGTAAAAATCACTCGTGAGAGCATTGAATACGGCAGCGAACATTTTTTCAGAGACGATAATGCCAAATATAATTTCTGTTTTAGGTTTTATCACGTGTTTTTGGTTTAATATACTAAATAACGCTTCTTCTTCTGATGGAAGATCGCTATTATGATAATCCAGTTCATCATCTGAATGGATCAATTTAACTTTTTTCGTGTGTTTTAGATGTTTTAATTTATCATCTTTACCGTAGTTACGTTTAATAGACATGTTATTAATTTGTTCAAATGTTTTTTTTTGTTCAGAGAGATTGTCTGTCTTTACACTGGATTTCATAGTGTTTAAATAAAATATAAGTGTGATACAAAATGTATGGGTTACCAGACTCTGCTTTTCTGAAACATACGACTTGAACAAGAATAATTTACCTAGTCCAATAATCTTTCATTTTCACTAATGTTATCTCGTGCATCACTAATTATAATTAATTTAACCAATTTAACATCCTGTCCTCATTTTGTCCAGTGCACTTCTTTTATAAATTGAAAAGTGCAATGTAATACATGGCAGTGCTTTGCTGTTAAGTTGTTTTAAGAAATAGTGACAATATTCAGGCTTAGACTTTCGCGTAATTGTTTAAATTATTTTGAAATGAGGACAATTTTGAACAAAATATTCTTGAGCATTTCTGAGTGGCTACCTTATTCGCATACTATGCCTTTTCAATATATAATTCTATACATGAAGAATGAATGTTGTTAAAGCAAAGAAATGGAATCTTATGCGTTACTTTCAAGTCTATATATGGTCTTTTGGCCGAACAATTTATGCGTAAAGACTTTATTAGTGACTAACAGAGACCAATGTAAGAACAAATGTCTTTGTTTACACGTTATCATTATGATTAACCATTTGGATAAAAGGCCAAAATTTCATATGTATGTATTTGAAATATATTACTAATACAAATTGTGCTAAAACGCGTAATAAATAGGACAAAAGACCATATATACCAAGACATTTTGTTCTGTATTTATACTAAAACATGTACAGTATAAAACAAAAAAGACAATTAAAAATCAGCCATTTAGACAGAAGACATAATTTTGCCTTAATATCTTGTACTTAATTTAAGGCGTAAACTTTTCGCATAATCATTTAAATGATCTTAAAACAAAGATGTT